GGGAAAGACCATGTGAAACTGATGCTAATGCTGCAATTTTGTTTCAGTAAAATGCAATATAACCTTCCCTCCCTTTATGGAAATAATTTTCTGAATTTATATATATGCCTATAAAATCCAGGAGTTTTCAGGATTATCCCAACAGCTCAGAGGTGAAAATGAGAGAGCAATCCAAAAAAGTTGAAAAAAAAGTGAGATTTTGCACACTGAACTTCATAATATCCAACAAATGGAACACAAATACTTATTTGTTAAGTCAATATTTGTACCTGTGACCTGAAATGATGTTAACAGACAAAATACTACTAAACATTTATCTGTTATCCTTTGAAACCTGAACTGTATATAGTCAATACTTTATCTACCTTACTTGGTTCACTTTCCTCAGAGACACGAGAAATTGTTTTCACACTTTGTGAATTAAATGCAGGTGCCAAACTTCACAGACCTCATCATTTATCTTGCTGGACCTGCCAAGACAGCAAGTCCAAACCTGATGTCTTGTTGCTATTTAGAAAAAGGTTTTGAGGTTCCTACTCCTCCTGGGTTTGTCACACGATAAGATTCAGCTGATATCAGAATAAGATATTTTATAGTCTGACCTAGATCCATCCTATGATCCACATCTGGATTTGTATTAAGCTTACCTAACTTTATAGGGAAGACATAAGCGAGTGTTAGCCAGAGCTGTACAGCAGCACAAATGCTTCAAAGGCACTGGCATTTAATTAAAAAGCTTTTCAGCACTGTGAACCATCACAGTTTTATATTCAGTGCTTTTTCCAACAACAGTGGATTTATGGAGAACAGTTCTTTCCTAAGATTGTGTCACTTGACAGATGAAGTAGCTGAGCTGTAGGTGCAAGAATAACAATCAAACCACTGGAATACATACCTGGTGTGCAATACAATGATCCAGGCTCAGCTGACTTAAAGAGCAATGATGCCCCTGTAATCAAAACCTGTTGAGTTAGACAGAGCTTTCCAACTTATTAAGACTCCTATGCTATTCTTTATAACAATGCTCCAGTTTAAGAAGATCTTCCTACTTTTCATAAGTGCAAAAAATACCAACAAATGCTAT